AAATTACTTGTACCTGATGATGGCAAAACCTTGTCGAAACGTTGTACATTTGCTGTTATGTTAAACTTATATTAAAGTTTTTCTTCATTACCCATTCAAGCCGTCTCCAGCCATTACTTGAAGCTTTTATTAAGAATTTAGTGTCTTTGTCAAAAACCCTCGCACCATTACCAATTTTGAGCATTGAAATGAATGTGTACTTGTATTTTGTACTATTGGCAAAGCTACCAAGGCTATCTGTTGCCATCCCTAGTTTTGAATTACTGACCAGATGGAAGGCAGCCAGTAATCCACATTAAGATACTGACTGTCACCCTTATAATGCATCTACAGCTTCAAGTATGGAGAATAATTTATGGTATTACACAGATTCAAAATCTAGAGTTTTAACACAGGGTTAACCTGTGGCCATAATGTTTACTTCATCTGATGTATCCTTATAAAGATATGTAATATATACAAATTTCATAGATGTAAATACAAAAGACCACAACAGTACTGATTAGCATTTGTGATCAGAATTTTGTAATTATTCAGATGAAAAACTGCAACTTCAGAGAATTATACACTAAGTTCGAAAAAAAATGAAACAGAATTAAATTATTTCGTATTAGTTATCTACATACATTCTCCATAATGATATAAAAGACATTTTGAAATTAGTTATACATATACTACAAGAACAATTACAATAATAAAAGAATTAGGGAATTGGAGTTATAGCAGGTTTGGTTGTGTTGGACATAACTGAACTACTAAAATAAAATTACTTTGTATTTCTTATCCACAAAAAGCTGCCAACAGTGTTTCATCACATTGCTACAAATTATACTTTATTTGTTGCTAGGGGTGCCAACTTTCTAAAAACCTGACAGTTTTTTTTATCACATTAAAAAAGGTTTTTCAACAGAAGTAAATGAAAATTGTTTCATTAAAGAAGTGCAGCCTACTTTTCTTTAAACTTGTCCAATGTGAAGGTGAGTATCTATAGGAAATACAAAATATCAGACAACAGGATATGTAGTGAGGTTGAGGCTCATTCAGATCACATTGTGTGTGCTCACTTCCTCTACCATCAGACCTGACAGGTCAAAACCAGCTGTGGGAGAAGGGTACTTCTGATAAGTATTCATGCTCAACTCCTCTACCATCAGTCTCTACAGGCCCCTTGCCAGCTGCAGTAGTAGGGTCTGTTTATGATGTAGTAGAGACAAGCAAGTGTTCACCTTGACTCTGATGAATAGACACTGTCTGCAGGAGGAGAACTTGTGAGATACAGGTATGGAAAGGACTGGTAAAGTGAATTGTATCATTGGTCCATATGAAGTTAGTGATGTAATGTATCACAGATATATATGTAGGGTGACCCTCACTACACTCTTGATGTAACCACAGCCCTACTTCTCACTGTAATAGAACCCCTTGTTCTAGCACAAGCAGTTACATTCTAATTGGTGAGGATTCTCCTTGATCCACCACCACAGCAGTTAGGAACTGGTACGCTGCAAGGGGATCCGGGGAATGTGCCTGGATTGGCAACAGTCCTCAGTCCAGAAAGGTCTTTACTGGAGACAGCACAATGGGAGACCCCCCCCCCCAAATCCTGTTTTTCAAAACCAGTAGCATGAGCCAGAAAAGTAGAGAGAAACACTGCTGTAGGGCTTTTTTTCAATTATAGTTCATGGAATAAGTACAGTCTGGATTGGAAAAGAGATGAAATATAGATATATATACCATGAGAAAATCTCAAATGGTCTTGTGGAACGCCCCATCTCACAGTGAGGTATGAGCTCATTCCGTTATCCTGGCTTGATGCAGATATTTGTAATTATACCCTGGGAGGCAACACTAGCCCCTTAGTGAGATCCTAATAAATGAAATATTGGTCCTGAAATGGAAGTGGTGCACATTCTACTCAAAGATGGTGAGATGATGTAAGAATAACAACCTGCAAAAGCTAAAAACAGTCAGGAGGTAAAACAGCCTGAAGGTATAAAGATGTAAATGAATGTGTGAAGAGAGTCCACACACCTGCCTGGATAAGCTCATCCAGCGACCAATAAAAAAAAAGAGGGGGAGAGAGAGAATGAAAAGTGTGACATATAGAATGCGACCAACAATGAACATGTCAATGAAGGAGTCAATTGATCCATTCTGGAAAAGGAGGAGGAACAAGGTTCATGGAAAATAGAGGATCCAGGATATGGACAGAAGACAGGGATTCTTAAAGTAAGAGGTCTGTGAAAAGGCACATAGAACTGTCCAACGGGACACAGGAGCCAAGCGAGGTCCAAGCAGCCCATTAGTATATAGAAGGAAAAGGGAGATAGGAGAGAAGTATAATTTACTCCCAGCAGGCGAAGTCCAAAGAAGAAAGAATCAATCCCCAGAGAGGAAAGAAGAAGAGCTGTGGAAGAAGGTGTGTGAATCATCTGAAGTACAGACATCAGAGCAATGGTAAATGCAGGAAATATGGAGAAGGGAATGAGTCAAGAGAAAAAGATTGTAAAAAAGTAAGAAAGGAAATATCTCAAATATGGCATGTACAAGATCACCCAAAACCCCAACAAGATATCAGTCAGGCAAGGGAGCAAGGCAAGGAAGACAGAGGAGAATGAAGGAGGAGTGGAACAGAATCAAGTGGACAGGGTAAGAAATGTGTCTTGGTACTGAGAAAGGAAAAAAAAAAACATGGGCATGACCACCCAACAACTACGAAAAGCTAAGACTAAGAATTCTGCAATGAACAGGCTGGTAAGAAAGGAAAAAAAGGTGATGCACAGAATTAATGCTTTGAAGAAATAGGTGGTGGAAGGACAAATGGCTCATAATCAATGGCAATAGACAAATACAATGGAAAGATGAGACAAAAATTACAAGAATAATGCCAAAGTAGTGGAAAGTCCAGGGAGACAGACTGGGCAAATTCCATGCATGTGAGTTGAGAGAGGATAACCCTCAGGGAAGAAGGGAAATGAGAAAGTGTGAACCGAGAAAGAAAGGCGATAATGGTGAGAAGAAGGGGAAGGTCTGATTAATCAGCACATCAAAGCCAAAGCAGTTAGAAGGACACCAACAACAGGACCCAAGAAGGATAGTAAAATGTAAATCCAAAGTCTAGAAGGATGAGACAAACAAGGGAGTAGGTACAGAAAAAGACCTGGCCTGTTTGAGAAAAAAACAACATTGAGAGCCAAAGGAAGAGGACTCTAAGAGAGTAAGCCCAGAGTAGAGAACAGTGACGGTGTCCAAAATGGATGTGTCCAACCAAGAGTAAATCCCATGGAAAATCTGAGGGTGCATGCGCTACTTCATTGACAGAATAAGGACTGGCTGATAGAAGTGGCTCACTAACAACAAGAAAGCTCCCAGTAAATAATGTAGATGGGCAGAGAAGTACATAGTTAATTCCTGAAAATTAAAATGCTCTGGATAAGGAGCTACAAGTACGGTTGAAGCCAGGAAAGGCCATGGAATAGATCGAATGAACCACTAGTAGAAGCAGGAATGAGAACATGCCTGAAAAGGAGAGAGAAGGTTGAGGACATTAATGGGGAGGGGGGCTCTAGTCCAACGTACAGTGATGAAAGATCTGCTACCAAAAAAAATGTACTTCATTCTGACAGAGAAGCAACAAAGAAGGGGGAGATCTGGTTTGAAAGGTGGTAATTAAGGTAAAAAGTAAGACAGGCATGGAAATAGTCAGTGACAATTTCTAGAGGAGAGACTCACAAAGAGGGGAAAGGACCCCCAAGATACATGTAGGACATACACGAGGGCATGCTCCAATTGGGAAAACAAAATAATAAAGAACACAGGCAAAAGAAAAGAAACATATCCAAGAATGAAATCCAGTAAGAAATGGAATGATTAAAGTTGTTTAACAATTGGTAAGGGTACTACTGAAGCCCAGTAGGTGAAGGATATTGTCTAATAGTTCATTCCTGATTCAGGAGAAAGAAATTTGACTGACATGATGCAAGTAGGAGACCCATGAAGCACGTGATAATCCACAACATGTTGAGCAATGGCTGCTATGATCCTTACAGTTAACAGGTCTCCAAAAGCCACAGTAGTAATAAGGCCTAAGTGTGAACAATATCCTACACTCAGAACAAGTATAAAATACTGTCATTTGAGTAGTCATGATAATATTGTAAAGCTTTTGAAACAAAAGTTAAAGAAAACAAAAATCAAAGTTTCTTTAATGAAGCAAATCTCTTTAAATTAAACTCATATGAAAAATTAAAAAATATTTGGTCAATACAGCTCGCTGAGGAAAAAAATGAAAATTCACAAGTGCAAATGCACAGGGGGAGTTAGTGCACATGGAGGTGTGTCACCCTCTTAGTGGTGGTGACCTTTTGCTACATGATGACATCATCATGCAGTGTCACAAATTCACGTGAAATTAGGTGGGAGTTTTCACAAAGCTAGTGACATGCAAATCTCTTTGGAAGAAGTGCTGAGGAAGATGGCTAATCTGTGTGAAGTGGTGAGTATTTGTTTCAGAATTCATAATTTCAATTATTCACCGTACATCGATAATATTTCTACAGTTTCAGAGCAGAAAAAGTAAGAAACAAAATATAAAAGCTTTACCTAAAAAGTTTTTTTAATATTTATTTAGGAGTTAAGATTTTATGCAAATAACATTTGAAAATTAAGATGAAAAGAAGTCTTTTTATTCTTAGTTCGAAAATCACCCTTCACTCCCACTAACTCAGTAAATACTTTGAACATTTACAGACAAATCATTACTAAAAATACTTGATTAAAAAATCCAATTTTTTTTATGTAGGGCAGATTTTATTAATATTTACGAAAAGTTTGCCAAATTTTGTGAAGATAAAGAAATTTATTTTTATAGTATGTATAGCTTCAGTTTGAAGGTTGGGCAAATTGACGAACTTCACACTTATAGGGTTAAATAATATTATAAAAATTTCACATTTTAAATTTTATGATAAAATTTATATCTAATTTGTACCTTAGCATTTTCACGTGCACTGAATATTTCCTTTAATTGCCTAAGGGAAGATAACTGGCGTTCTCGATCATCTTCACGTTCAAGTCGCTGCAGTATTCTTGCCAGTCTTGAGTCTTCCACCAATAGGCTTCCATCTGGACCTGAAATATTAAGTCAGGCTATATTTATCTTGTAGAAATTAAGTAACAGATACATCTAAATATATTATGTGACAATATAAAATTACAGCCACACATCTTACAAGTAAACACATTTTTCATGGCGATAAATATATTTCTAGTAATTTAATGCCAAAATGCAAGTCAAAACATGCAACAGATACAATTCACAGCATAAAGCTGTACCTATAATTGGACTACAATTTCCAAATTTAATCAATTATATGAGTATATACAGATTTATCTAGAACGCGATCATTCCATACAATGTACAAATCAAGTTTCATAAGTTTAAAAAATATATACATTTACAAATTGCAAACTGAAGTCTATAACTTGTCTACCCATAATTAAAAATGGCAAGTATTTCTCAAAGTTTTTAATCTTAATGTTCTGTTATGATAACCATAGTCTTCAATTCTTTCAAAATGTGAAGAAAATATAAAATGCTGATGTCTTTACACCCATTACATTAGTCTCTTTCTAGACCATTAAGGTTCACCAATATTCCTTGATTTTTTCTTTTTCCCAGTGGAAATACTTAGCCAAATTGCACAAAACTTAGTATGAATTTATTAAATAGTATCTAGTTTCATGTTTTAAAAAATTATTCAATTAGGTTGTTAAATATAAATATTTTGATGTGAGACACTGTTTACAAAAAAAAAGATAAAAATATTTCTTTTGTCTTAGAATAAAACAATATTTAGTGTTCCATTTCATGTATTCAATCAGTTTCAACTTCATTGATGTGTATTAATGCTTTTGCTCCTTAATTTTTCCAGTAATGAGCAGTCACCACATGTAGCTATAAATTGTAAAAAAATAGGAAAACAAATTTATAAGTGACCTCGTCTCACCTTTCAAAATGGCATTGATGTTACCTTTGTCATGTTAGGTAACAATATTTTTGAAAAGATCATTCTTGGTCGAAATAAATTTATATCTAAATAAATATAGTTTATTTTCAATAAATAATGAAATATTTTACTTTTGTACATTGTTTAAATACGATAAAAAATTAACATATTCAACAACTAAAGATTTAAGTCATAGGAATATTTTGCAATAGCCTATTGTATCTGATAGACCAAAGAAAAACATTTCTATAGATTTGAAAAATATAATTCAACATAACATTTTCATGAACTAAAAGAAAATATAAAACTATGAAAAAATTCACTGATTTGTGGTTTGTTGCTAAGACTTCCAAACCTCCCATCAGATTCCTTTGTTCTTTTTTAGAGTAACTGTAAGTAATCATTTTCCTACAAAATCATAAATTACTGCTCACACCACTTTACAGAAATGCACAAATCATGGATATTATAAATTATTATAGAAGAGCATGCATTGTACTCTATGTTGACATACCTAATTATAATGTGCTCTATCTAATCATATTTAAATGGTGTCTTTAGCTATTTTTAAAGGTATGCTTCTTTAGCAATTTTTAAACTACATTCTGTGACATCATAAAAGGGTGAAAATGCAAAGGCTGCAGAAAAAACAAACAAACATGGAATGAAAAAAATCACACGAGAAATAAAACATGGATAATTATATTCTCAAGGAATGATAGCTTCTTAGCAAATATAAATGTATGTAGGCAAGTCTCTTCAGAGCTGTGCAGAAATGAAAATTCAATTTTTTTTTCATTTTTCTTTGCACATTACACTAAAATAAATGTTATAGCTGGTATCTTATAATTTTGTAAGATATTTCAAAGTTAAGAAATGTTGAAATACAGTTAGGTTTATTACTTTTACTTAAATTTTGAAAATTTACATACAGGTGTGTACTCAACAGCTGGACGATTCTCTATAGCCCAGATAGGGTTAATGTAAAATCCAAAGCAAACAGTTTTTTTTAACCACTTTAAATCTAGCAAATGTCCCACTAGAGCAATATCACTACTCTTTTTATAGAAATAAAAACATTCCTCATTTTAGTTAGTCAATTCTTCCTTCAAAATTTTGTTAAAAAGGAAGGATAATTTAAAAGAATAGGAAACAATTTTTCTTTATTATATGAAGTCTGAAGCGTGCAGCTAAAATCTTGCTTACATAACAGTACAGATAGCCATCTTCCCATCCACTGAACTATTAAAAACTTGAAAACTTATTCAAATATTTATTAAGCCCTTAAACTCCTTTAAATTTACTGCTTCTACCACATTTGAAGGTAATCCATTCCAAATTCCAACCACTATGACAGAAAAGCACAACTTTCTTAGCTGAAGATGGCTCATACCACATCAAGATTTACATTTGTTTTCAAAAAATGATGCATTGATACTATCAATTCTCTTACGATCTTAAATTTCTAAAGCAAATCCCCTTTAACTCTTCTATTTTCAAGAAAAAGCAATTTCAGAGATCTTAACCTCTCCTTGTATGACAACCTTTCCATCCCAGGTATCATCCTAGTAGCCCTCCTATGAACCCTTTCCAACAATTCAATGTCCTTCCTACAGTAAGGAGCCCAAGACTGAAAACAATACTTCAAATAAGGCCTAACCAGCAACCTATACAATGAGACTGTAATCTCTTTAGACTTGTATTCAACATTTCTGCAAATACCATCTAAAATCCTATTTGCCCTACCACAAGTAAAACCACCTACTTTTCAAATGAAGATATTATGGTTGCTTTCTGTTAGACTTTCAGAAAGTCACCAAAAAAGTGCCTCATAAGAAGCTAGCTATTAAGTTTGATGCTTAAAGAATTTGTTAAAAATACAAGTAGTGGACTGAATATTAGTTGAGTGATACAAAGCAGAACAATGACAGATGGACATTTTTTGTCATTCATTAGTCTTTTACTAAGGTCCTTTGTTATTATTTATCTTCGACTTTGATGACTTTTTGGGTATTAACATTTCTTAAGTTGTTACTGATATTAAAACACTTGAAACCACTGTTTAGCTGAGAATGCCTTGCTTAACCAAAAGGTCCTTAAACCTTTTAGAGAATGGACAATGTGTAAAAGATGAGTTCTAATAAAGCAAAGAGTGAAGTTATTCACTTCGAAGACAGTTCTCTAGTGTAAGAGAAACATTACTGTTACAAAAAAAATAAAAATAAGCATCATGTTAATAAAACTCTAAAATCCTATACCCAGTATTTAGCTGTGATAATAAAAGACCTGTACAAAACACTGAAAATGCCTCAATTAAAGAAGTACATGCAGTTTGATCCCTTACTACAGAAAGTATATTAATATGTTGGAATTAATTCAAAGATGGACTATCAGGAGAATTATGAGGGACTTAATGCATGTGCAAGATTGTAATGGAACCAGATAACCTTCCAACAAGTTATTTATTTAAGTGGTGAAATGAAAATGTTTATAATACAAACCTGAATACTTCACAGTACAAGGGTAATATGTTTAAGCTTTGCAAGTCTAAATACAGGTTTATTCTTAGAAAATAATTTTTTGGTGAGTTAGAAATATGTTGAATGATCTACCTGATAAGTGGTTTATCTTGTAAGTCTGAATTCTTTGGCATGCTTTCTTGGATAGGAATATGAATCTGAACAACTATTTAAGTTTCTTTAAAAAATTAAGTATAATGTCTTTATTGTTAGTTTTTCTTTTTGGATAAGGGAGTTATATTTCCTTGTCTTTATTTTTTTTTATGTTTTTATGAAATTTCCAATAATTGGAAGTTTATAGACATGATTCCATTTAAAAAAAAAAAGGCATGCGAGAATCAGAGAAATTAGAGACTATAATTTGACATATTCCACCAGCAATGTATTGCAATTATCAAAAAACAAAAATTTAAGATAAATTTTTGGAAAGCTAGAACTCTGTTAAAAAAAATGACAGTTTTAAAATTTTTTTTTAATCTTATCAACTATTTACAATTTTTTTAATATGACTTCTGCTCTTCTGGATGAAAGCACACTGGCTGATGTTATGCATCTTAACTGTCAGAAAGTCTTTTCAAAGTTCCCAAACAAAAGACTAATTAGGAAATTGGATGCTTATCAAATAAATGAAAAAGTTAGATAGAAAACTGGCTTAGTGATAAAACAGAAATCACAAAGTAGTGATAAAACTTTTATTAAAAGGTTTTAATTTTACAAGCTAAGAGAATGAATGACCCCCTCTCTAATCACAAAGGACCTTATGATATTGATATATTAACAATCTAGATAACTTCATGAACAATAATTGCCCAAAAATTGCTGCTAAGGACAATCTGAAGCTTCTTGAAAATGTTTTTCTAATCAGAAGATTCTCAAATTTTTTTTTTTTTTCTTAACCACAACATCATTAAAGGTGACTTGATTTTGGTATTCTAAAATTGTCAAGCAAATCTTTCTATTGATTATTTGTTTAATTGGTAGAATGATAAGGTTGAAAATATGAACTACTATATTAGGAGTAATTGATGGAAGCCAAGATTTTTTGTTTATTTGTTTTGGTGGGTGCTTTCTGATGTTCTTGAAAGTGCACAAGATTTCATGAGAACAAGCTTTAAGTGATAGTACTACTAATGATTTCTATTCACATTCCCAATTCTATCATTTCTTCCATTTTGTTACAGTCCTGCTTGTCTTTCAATGATGCCCCCATTACATATTTTCGCATATATGGGAATAACCTGTTGTTTTTTCCTAATTTACAAATCAGGTAACTCACCAGTTAATTTTTCTTTCTATATTTGTTATAGCTTTCAGCTGCAGCAGGATTTATGTGCTTTATACATTATATTTGTTATACATATTAACTATTATTAAACTTTACAAGTAGCTAATAAGTACAAAGTTCTACAAACGTTGTGGAAGTTCATGTCACAAAACACAGCTACTGAACAAATTGCACGTAATTGAACGTATATTTGAAGGTTAATCACCAGTAAAGTTCACTTTACCGTTATGATTTTCACTACAGTATAACATTAACAGTTTAACAAAGCTGAAAAGAAATTGCTAGTCTACATTAATATCTTCTTCTTAGTCTTACCTCCATAAGTCTGAAATGACGTGCTATTCGATGATCCATTACTAGGAATGGGATTAGACTGAATTTTTACTGTGTCACCTGCTTGAGACGTACGGACCGGACTGCTGTCAGGGGTGCTTCTTTTTGACGGTCCACCAGAAAACTTACCCCGTTCTTGGCGACGGAAAATAAGACTGCTGCCATGAGGACGACCATCTCGGCTTCGAGAGCGAGATTTCTCTCCTATTCCTAAGCCTAAATCCTTTGGTCTGCCATGGAGAGTAGGCGGAAGTGAGCGATCCACACTACGCCTCTGGTAATTACTTTCTTCTCTTTTTATTCTCTCGTCCTCGTCTCTTCTTCCTCTTGATTTTTCACGTCGAAAATCCTTAATTTTACCGCTTGACGATTTCTGGTTCATTCCTTTCGAAATGAAAGCGAATAGTACAAAAGCAAATTAGTAACATTAAACTTCCCATTTAAGCTCACTGATGACCGCCATATTTCTATGCTTATAAAGATTTTCGTGAGGAAGGTTATCTGTTAGCGAGATTACGCTATTTCGCAGTGAGAATATGAAACGCAAACATAATATATATAAATAAGCAAAATTTATAATATCTTATTTTGACCCTTTTGGATACAGAAGATGTGATACTATATGTGGCTCAGAAAATAAATTATAATGATTATACTATCAGCATTTTATTTTTGTATTATTTACTCCTAATTATTTCAAAGATATAATCAGAAATTAGAGTTTTAAGACATGACAAGGCAAAACTACTGCCAGAAAACATTATAAAGTAACATTCCTCAGTCCCTTCAATTTATTATTTTGCAAATAAAGCATTTAGTAATCATTCATATGGTATAAAATTAAAATGGTCATTCAACCTATGTTTTATATATTGGTGCCATTTAAGGTATCCAAAGTAATGGTTAGACGGTATAGAAGACATTTGGATGTTTCACTCAGTCATAGCAGACTGCTGAAAGTTTACTAAAAGTGTTGTTAACAGAATGTAAAGCGCTTCCAAACCAATGATACAATTACTCAGACACATGACTGTCGATTTTGGCTTGTCGTAGGATACTTACTCCAAAACTGAATTATATGTTCTCAACCACAACTAGGCATCGTGTCAGTGTAGAGACAGTCAGAAACATACTTCGCAAGTCTAACTTCTATGCCAGACGCCAATTATCAAATGCATTCTGCTTGCAGCAAGGCACAAAACATGTCGCTTGTATTTGTGCCAAGAATACGAATAGTAGAGTAATGACACGCGAAAGAGTATTCTTGGAACAGGCTGCCTTTGTTCTTCGCCATAACCAAACTACATACTGAATTGAAATGTCCTGAACTGTAAATACATAAATCTACTTCACTTCTACTACATGTTCATTTTGCAGTTACAGATTAAATGACCAATCAGTTGCATTTCAGATCACATGATACACCATTAAATGCTCGATCAACATAAAAATTAACTGAAGTTTAAGGGGGAATTGACTTACATTGTTGTAACTAAAATAACAGGTGCAGGTATATACATAGAAGACTGCAATGAAAAATGAACTGCATATATGAAGTGTATTGGAATGGTAAGGTACTGTTGCGTCAGCGAGGTCACGTGACTAGTATCACGCCATCTCTTTCTAGAAATATCCTTCAAGAATGCCCTAGCATTTACTAGATATGTGTTAGTCTTGTATATATAAGACGTTCACAACGTGACGGAACAAGAGGATAATGAATAATTGAACTGCAGTCAGAGAGAATATTGTTAAGCACGTGAGAAGTTCGTTGAGAATTATAGCATTTGTCACAGA